TTCGCTCGATTCCGGGAATTTTGCGCTCGATTCCGGGAATTACGCACGATCGAGAACCTTCTAGAACATTCTAGAACCTTCTAGAACATTCCGGAAGCTTCGACGGTTCGTGTCCGTGTTAAGTCGGGAAGTTTCGCTCCCAGAGCCGGCGGTGTCAATTGATGAAGTCATTAATTGATGAAGTATTTAATTGCTGTATTATTTAACATTTCAATAAATGTATAATTACTAAAATCATAATATACAGTTAAACCATATAACAAATTATTTTCTTTTATTCCAACTCATTGTTTTCATTAATATTATTACTTAAATAATTAAAATATCTTTTGAAAGAAAATCACATACGTATTTTTGTTAAATATTCTAGTATGTTAGCTTACCTCCAGAACATGTAAAAAGTTATCGTTATTTAATGAATCATCAATTGTTTAATGTATAACATACATACCTTATCAAATATAACCTAACCTAAATAGAAAAATATTATATTTGCTTTGCTTCATTGAAATTTAGTGTGACCATTTCAATATTTAGCATAGGTACCTTGTGTTAAAGCTGTTAGCTTAATCACTTAATATTATTATTAATATTAAAGGTGATATTATGTTTGAAAAATATAAAAATGATCAATCACAAACATTAATTGTACAATTATTACGAACTTCTAAGATACCTTTTATTCAAAGTATGCCGTCTCATCAACTATTTTGTACAACAATTATAATAACTATTATTGGCATTAGTATTCCATAATTGTGAGTTCCAAATTTCGTCCATTTTTCAATTTCTGCCGTCGATGAACCCTTCTTCAGAAGTTTATACGCTCGTTCCATAATCTCAATCAACTTTTTACACTTATCAGCATATGGACTAAGTTTATTATTTTCAAGTAATTCAAAATATAAAGAAGTATTGAATTTTCTAAAATTATCTTGCAATATGCTTGTCCAACTTTTAATTTTTTTAAATCATCTTTAAAACTATTATTTCGTTTTGTTTTTCTTTTATTACAGTATCCATTTTATTGATTTCTTCTTTAAAACTTTTTGATTCCTTTCTAATTGTTTGTTTTATTTTCTTTTTCTAAATTGTAAATTGAAATTTGTTTTTTAAAATTTTTATTGGTTATTATTTTTTCTTTTTGAGTTCAGTTAAAATGTTTCATTTAATCATGGATTGTTTTTATAATTCATATTACATCACTCCTTTAATTATTAAAGATTTTATTAATTCTGGATAATTAGTTTTTTTTATTAATCGATATTAAAGGTGATATTATAGTTGAAAAATATAAAAATGATCAAGAATTTTTGTAGAAATCATTTAGTATAAATATGCCAGATATTACACAAGGTGTTAAAAACTTAGCAATTGATAATGGTTATGTTATTTTATGAATCATCAATTGTTTAATGATATTAAAAGTCTACTTAGTAATTTCTTCATATATCTTTACAACCTAATCTTTAATATTTTACTAAACATTTAGGAGGTAAATAAAGTGAATTATCAAATTATATATTATATTGCATTAGTAATGTTTAAATTAAAACGGCTTCTTTACAACCTAATCTTTAATATTCGATATTAAAGGTGATATTATAGTTGAAAAATATAAAAATGATCAAGAATTTTTGTAGAAATCATTTAGTATAAATATGCCAGATATTACACAAGGTGTTAAAAACTTAGCAATTGATAATGGTTATGTTATTTTATGAATCATCAATTGTTTAATGATATTAAAAGTCTACTTAGTAATTTCTTCATATATCTTTACAACCTAATCTTTAATATTCTACTAAACATTTAGGAGGTAAATAAAGTGAATTATCAAATTATATATTATATTGCATTAGTAATGTTTAAATTAAAACGGCTTTTTTCCAAATAATCAAATTAAAACAGTACTGGTCCTTCGAAGGTAATAAATAACATTTTTCTACCTCTTTCTATGCATTGAAATTGCAAGTAATAATATTGATTATTTAAGTGGTTTTATTATTTCAAAAAATGACTAGAAATAAATCCAACAAGATTTACTGATAATTAATATCTATCAATAATATGTATATAATATATTTATATTTATATATAGTAATATATATATATAAATACGTTTACTCGAAAGCATTA